TCATTAGATAGTTGACCATACAGTGCTTACAACAGGAACACATAAAGCCTATATGGGAGACACTGAAAAGAAAGGGACAAAAATAAATTGAATCAAAGTGGAAATACTCTACAAAATGTAGACTGATTGCTTATTGTTTTACTTCCTCTCCAATGGAGACATCAGTTCAGTTGGCCCTGATGGAAAGAGAATGATGAGTTGATTGGTCCACTTGTGCATTATGTCAGAGAGACCAGAAAAATACTAAGGTGACTTAAGAAAGAGGCAAATTCTGAAATTATCTTGTCTGAAGACATTATCCTTTTGAACTAAGCTTTTCGAAAGACAATCACAACCGGTGTCTCCAAGATTCTGTTTCTAGGAGACAAGCCTGCTTGTTCTCATCACATGAGCACACAGACAATCAGCTCGTGATGTAATCCTGGCAAAGAGCCTGTGAGACAAAATATTGGCATGGACTGCACCAGCTATCACCAAACCTGGAGCAGAAAGAGAGGGTGTTGGGCAAAGCGTCACCAGAGGGAAAAAAAGTCAGTGCAGCAATAGTGAAGGAAGACAAAACTGCAGGTCCAAAGGGGAAGAATTACGTGAATTCTGGGGCCCAGGATCCTGTTAGCTGTTTACCTCTATCAGCACTCTTCCTCAAGGAGGGGCCTTCCCTTGGCATATTCTCCACAGTGTTTCTCTCCCTCTGCCCCATCTCAACCTTCACGTTCCTGAACAGTCCCCTCGGACTCATTCCCTCTCTCTGCCCCAAGGCTGGGGGTGGCAAGGGGACCTGGGTCAGAAGGAGGAAGTCGGTGAAGAAAAGGACTGCTCAGAGAAATATGACTTCAGAAAATAACTTCATCTCCATGAGGGCAGGGATCTTCCTTTGGTTCATGAATGTGTCTAAGCCACTAGAACAGTGCCTGACTTATCAATTGCTTTTTTTTTTTTTTTTTTGCTTTTAACAAATATTTGTTAAATAAATTTTTAAATGAATGAACAAACTTCTGAGTCCTTAACCCATTGTAATGGTGGCAGACTATTTCTCCACCATTCCTGGGCTCCACAGAAGAGGGAATCTTCCAGGATTTCTAAAATTCAATCATCCTACATGATGCCCAAGAAGTAATAATCTCCAATCTACTCTGGTCACTCTAGCCATCCTTGTTGGCCAAGCCCAAGTGGTTCTCTGAGGCCTCCAATTGGCACTCAGGCACGGCCTCGGATGAAGCAGAGGAACCTTCTGTGAGGCCTGGAGCCCCAGGCCTGACGTGCCTCAGGAGACCAGCATTTTGAGGCCAGGGAGCAACGCACAGCTCCTCTCGCAAGCGAGGCCAACAACCTGAGCTCTCTTGCTTGGGTTGGGGCCCTCATTAATAAAGAGAATCGTATCTCTTTCTCTTCTGCTTCTCCAAGCTTATTTTCTCAGACTTTATCCTGTCTCTAGGTTTTCGACTTTTGGAAACAAAAGCCAATAAAATTTCCAGACTTACACTGCACTCTTCCCTGACTTCCCCCAGGCACTGACACACACAGCTTACTACCAACTCAAATGGTAGATTGGAAAGGGGAAAATGAAGGATGGAAAAAACAAAACAACAACCCATAAATATCTCAAAATATTATCCAGCCGTGCATATAGTTATGGCAACTGTGAGCCCTGCAGGTTATTCCACTGACTATAAAAGCAGTTTAAAAGAAAGAACAGTTGTGTGTATCCTTCTCTGATATTACCAATGTAGAAAAAAAAGGAACACTTAGTAACAGGTTTTTTTGTTTGGCTTTGTCTTGAGTTTTTTTGGTCTAATATCCTCCTTTAAGCAACAGCTTTGAAGAAACTAACTTCTTCTAAAAATTGTTTGGATGTTAAGATGAACACCAGCTCAAAAAGCATCAGGGACAATAAAAGGACACAGACTAGGTTTCAAGGCATCTGGCTGTCATAAACTTATACTTTGAATCAAATCTAATGGGCTTTCTTTTCTTGTGAGTAGGGTGAACATTATTAATTTCACATTTTAATATATTTTAGGGATATGATGAACTTGGATTGTAAAAGCATCTTTCTCCTATCCCACCTACTGCAGAAGAAACTTACTGGAAGAAATTCATTTGGAATGAAGGGGGAGTGACTGTCTTGCAGATCGGGGTGGACGGAGTGGGAGAATTCTTTATGGTTTGTGGTTGTCAGTTTCAAGAATATTGGCAACTATGAAGGCATGAAACAGGATGAAATTATGAGGCAGATTGACCTATTCGTTACTATACGTAGACAACAAAGGCTTGAAACTGGCCTTTAGAAGTGATTCTTGATCTTTTCTCAAGTAATAGGAAATAGGAAGATTACAGAAATACTTCATCTGGAAGTATCTGGAAGGCCATCGCTAAATCCCTGAGGTGACGTACAATTTCTGTTTCTTGTTCCTATCCACTCCCTTTTGCATCCTGTGGCACCACTTTGTGCCAGAAAAAACCTATGCCACCTGTCTTCAAGAGAAAAAAGGAAATAAAAAAGGAATAATATTTTATCGTGATTATAATGATCAGAAGTGACTATAATGATCAGAATGCTGTGATTTTGCTGTGACCTTTAGACAGCTTATATTCTAGCCCCAACCACATCTCTGCTGTAATTTGAATACGTTCCATGCTACAGATAGAGAAACGCTTCAGAATTCGGTGGGGCTGCCTAACTTTAAACTGTTGGGCATAACCTGTGAGAAACCAATTAAAACAGTATTAATCATTACTCTTTCTGTGCCTTTGGGATACTATTACAACTTTTTTACATTTTGAAACCAAACCATACAATATAGGGGTGCTTTCAAAGTGAATATTTATGTGGCATTCTGTTGCAGGAAAAGGTAATTGCAAAATTGATGTGACTAATTAAAAGTCAGCTAACTTCAAGTTAGCACAGTTGAGATAAATCATGCTTTCTAAAATACTTTTTAACATTATTTATTTCCGTTTTAAGCCAACAGAAACAATAAGAATCAACTTGTGCACCTTTTCTCAAGCCAAGCTCAAGTCATAGGTCTAGGACCATAAAATTTTAGCCATGTATATAATTCCAAGGGTTTAAATGTACCACCTGACGTGACTAATTAAACCACAATATGAAGTCATGCTTTCGGGTATAAGATTACTAACATACCTATAAAAAACACAGATTATTAACCAGAAACCTCAGGAATGAAAGATAGCCTTTAAAAATGTTCAGGGGTGCCTGGGTGGCTCAGTTGTTAAGCATCTGCCTTCGGCTCAGGTCAAGATCCCGGGGTCCTGGGATCGAGTCCCAACATTGGGCTCCCTGCTCCACGCCTCTCCCACTCCCCCTGCTTGTGTTCCCTCTCTCGCAATCTCTCTTTCTGTCAAATAAATAAATAAAATCTTAAAAAAAAATAAAAATAAAAATGTCCAAATCTTCCTGTGTGTTAGGTACTAAATAGAAAACACTATCTGCTGTGTGCTACACATACGTAAATATGTCTCTGATTACAGTGGTGGGAAATAAGATTGCAGGTGAACAGGTTATGATTGCAAATATTAAGATATTTTGAATAGCAACATGGGAGAACACATCCTGCTTAGTTTCTTCAGCATTTGGGATTATATTGCATAGTCTGTTGAATAAGTATCTCAAATCCTATCACAGTTACCATTTGGCAACGAGAATCTCACTTCACTGATAATTATACATGAAAAGAAACTAATTTCTTAAATAATATTTCATTTTGTTAAATGACTTTATAATGTTACAAAATGGAAAGGTCCTATAGGGAATAATTTGGCCCATGGCTCAGATGCCTGCTTCAGGATCCAGGTGCGCAATCCCCCAGCTGCTGAGTTTATTGGTTGCTGATAGCTCACAGCTGAGTCCATTTCTGCATCTCGCTCTCTGCCAAAGCCTTGCCCAAGGTTTTGCCTCCTCTCCAGGGGCATCCCACATTTAATGGCTAGCCAATAAACAAGGCCTGTCCCTTGTTTCAACTTAGAATGAATCTGAAAGTAAAGCCCAGCTCCAGGGCACCCATGGGATTGTTGGAGGCCCCTATTACAAACTGTTCACAGTTCAACTTCTCCCTCAGCTCAACCCTGCCTCCATCACTCCATTACAGAGGTTGTTCCAAGAGTACACCCCAATAATCCTTCTGCACACAAATCTCCAACTCGACCTTACACAGTTGATATTGAAAGTGGTCCCAGAAATGAGACTCTAGAATAGGGTTTTGGAGCTGGATTCTGTGCCAGCCAACTGGCAATGAGAACCCCATCCCTGGTGAGTGGAGTACTGATAGCACCTGCCATGCTGTGGCAATGTGATTACTAATTTGAATCCACTTATACTAAAGCTGTGTCCCAGCTGGTTACCTGTAATTGTTAAATAGATAAAACAGGGTTTTCTGCATTTAATTTATTGTAGAGTTTGCTCTCGCTATAGCTTGGGCAAGACTGCCACCTCCTGGAGAAGCTAATGTACACTGGTGACTGAGGCGCTTTCATCCGCTCGGGGAATCACTATTACGAGTTTGGTTCCCAACGCCAACTCTCTCTCTCCGTTAAGTTAAACCAATTTCTAACCCAATCACAACCTCTGTGAACAAGTTTTTGCATCGAACCAAGAATTCAAAGGAACTTGTGCATCACAATTTTTTCACGTGAAAACTTAAAATCTAACATCTGTAGAGAGCTTAGTAGGTGCCAATTGCCTTCATTCTGAGTCCAAACAAGAACCCTCTGAGGTAGGAACTATTATCACAGACACTCCTCCGTCACGAATGAGTGAAGTTTTACCGAACTTAAGGTGCTGGACGGTTAGCTGAAGCCCCACTCAGGTCATCAGAACTCTAACGACTGCAGAGAACTCAAGCTCCGTAGCTAAGCGACCGCCCCGCTCCACCCGGGCATGCGCAGAAAAACACGGAAGCAATTTCCGTAGAACATGCTGGAGGCTGGCACTGAGGGGTGTGGCGAGGGCTCTAAAATCCCAGCATTCCCATCGTGCCGACGCCAAGATGGCGGCCCCCATGTTGCGGTGCTTTTCCCGGGGTCGGTGGTTTAGGATCCCAGGCCCACCTGGAGTCTTGCTCCTGGGATTACGTGAGTCCCATTCGGGCGCTCAAGGGTTGTTGGCGGTGCAGAAGGCTCGGGGTCTGTTCAAGGAGTTTTTCCCCGAGAGGGGTACGAATATAGACCTCCCAGAGCTCTTCGACCGCGGCACGGGCAACTTTCCCCAGACCGTCTACTGCGGGTTCGACCCCACGGCCGACTCGCTTCATGTGGGGCATCTGCTGGCGCTGCTGGGCCTGTTTCACTTCCAGCGAGCCGGCCACAATGTGATCGCACTGGTGGGAGATGCCACCGCGCGCCTGGGAGACCCCAGCGGCCGTACCAAGGAACGAGAGGCGCTGGAACCAGAGCGCGTGCGAAGCAATGCGCGCGCCCTACGCCAAGGGCTCGAGGCCATGGTGGCTAATCACCAACAGCTCTTCGCTAATGGGCGCACCTGGGGAAGCTTCACGGTACTGGACAATTCGGCCTGGTACCAGAAGCAGCACCTGGTGGACTTCCTAGCGGCCGTGGGCGGGCAGTTCCGCATGGGCACGCTCCTCAGCCGTCAGAGCGTCCAAACCAGGCTCAGGAGTCCCGAGGGCATGAGCTTGGCCGAGTTTTTATACCAGGTGCTCCAGGCCTATGACTTCTACTATCTGTTCCAGCATTATGGATGCCGGGTCCAGCTGGGTGGATCTGATCAGCTGGGCAACATCTTGTCCGGATACGAGTTTATCCACAAGTAAGCTCCTTTAGACCCAGGAGAAATCTTGTAACCAAATAATTTACACACGAATAGCCTGTGATCCACGATTAGGATTGGGGAATGACGCCCTTTTTGAGCCCTTGTTGGTTTACCCCATCAAGTCTGTAATGGTGTTAATGTGACTAGCTAAATGAGAACTAAAGGAATGAAGTAATGGTACTAGGCATGGAACGTATTCTTAGAGCTTTGCAGGAAATAGACCACTAGTCAGGATTCAGATTGTGTCTTTTGCTTCCCCTTATTAGTAACTCTGTGTTTCTGACTTGAGAAACTGCTTTTCGTTGTTTATGCTTGAATGCGACTGTGTCTCCTGGAGTAGTTTCTGCTTTAGCTCTGCAGGTTCCATGAAGCTAGTGTTAGTTTTGGGTTGGCATCTCAAAATTTCTTTCAACTCCAAATATTTGGCAAATAAGGTAGATTTTAATCGCATTTTCTTGAGGGAGTTCAACTACAGGGCTAGGCCATGTGGTACTCATTTTTAAAATCCCTTAAAACATCCTTAGTGTCTCCACCTGACTTCCCCTTACTCAGTTTTCTTTCCTCTTCTTCCTCGGCTTTTAAAGTTTTCTAGGCCCTAGTTATGCAGAAACTACCCCGGAGTCACTGGTTCCATTGCAGTTTAGAATGAAAAATGCAAAAACGTAATGAGTGCTGTGAAAACAATTACGAGGGACAAAAACTCGAATTTAGAAGGTAAAGTAAGTTTTGTTAGAGCAAGGGACCAGAATGAAATCTGAAGAATGATTAGCAGAACCCACCACTACTTGTGCTTGAAGCACATAATGAAGTTTTTCTTTATGCGTAGGTTGACTGGAGAAGATGTATTTGGAATCACTGTTCCTCTAATTACAAGTACAACCGGAGCAAAACTGGGAAAGTCTGCTGGTAATGCTGTTTGGCTAAACAGAGATAAGACCTCTCCATTTGAATTGTATCAGTTCTTTGTCAGGCAGCAGGATGATTTGGTAGAAAGGTGAGTTCTTAATGGTATGCTGAGAAAAATTAAGTTTATAAGCTCATGTTATAATTTTAGCCATTGAATCTCTATGTACCCTTTGTACTTTTTTGGTTTTGTTTTCATTTAGATTTTAAGACACAGAACATTGCAATTCTAACTGTTCTGAACAGTTTTTTGTTGGTTAGAACAGAAAAACACTGTGTGTGGTTGCCGAAAAACAGAGCCAAGTTTGTGATCTACATCTAGCAAGTACTTAAGACATTATCACTGGTGTATTCTAGTTTTTTCACACCTTTTATCATCAACTTGACTAAACCTGGTTTTACCTTTGTTTCTAAAGTTTGTTTTCTTTGTAACATCTTTTGAAAATCCTTTTTAAAAAATGATTCTCATTAATTCACATAATCTTAAACTCTTCAAAGAATATAAACTAATGAGAAAAATACGCCTGCAATAAAGAAAAGGTCAATTTTCCCAAAAATAATTTTTCCAGAGTAGAAAATATGCCTAATAAAACTACAGTAATTAAGGTTTTTTTCCTTCAGATTTATACCAAACATATTTGATGATACAGTTTAGGGTTTTGTTGTTTCAAGAACTGACATCTTGTTGACAATTTCATTTTCTGTTGGCTCTAATGTATAAAAATACGGTTAATTTCTATGATTAACTGTGTATCCGGCAACCCTTCTAAAATCTTATTAATTCTAATAACCTTTGGATTTTAAAGCACAAGCCTAAATGTAAGATTAAGAGACTAATGGCAAAGATTAGAGAATCCAGACAGATCCCAGCATCTGTGGTCACTTGATCTCTGTGGCACTGCAGATAAAACAATCTTTTCAATAAATTTCATTTAGATAATTTGATGTCTTATGTGGGGAAAATAATGAAACTTAACCTCACACAGTATGCAAAAGTCAGTTTCAGGTAGATTGTCAGCCTAACTCTGTAACAACAGATAAATCATGTGTTCAGAAGATAAATAGGAAAATATTTATGAAGAAGATATTCTTAAAGATTCTGAAGGATTCTTAAATGAGGTACAAAGAAAAAGATTGGTAGATTAGACTAAATTACAGTTAAGATCTACTGTTCATCAAAAGTCACCATTAAGATAGAAGACTATCAGTTACACGTACTAAAAGTGTAAAGAGCTTATACTCAAATTCCATAAGCCAGTAAGAAAGAGACAACCCAGTCGAAACAAGTAGAGGCTTGAACATGCACTTCAGAAAGATTCTATCCAAAAGGCCAGAAACATCTGAAAAGGTTGCTCAGCCTTAATAATGAGGAGAAAATGCAAGATAAAGGCACAATTAAATACTGTCATATACCTTCCAGAATGGATAAACATAGACATGGCAATACCAGGTGTGGTGAGACTATTCCAAGGTGGTGGGAGAGTAAACTTACTGTCGAATCAGTCTCTGCCGATTGCTAGTGATGCTCTTGGCTAGAAATGCTTGAGGAACTCGCCTGGGCACGTACCACTTGGGGCGAGCCCCCACAGACATTTCCCCGACCAGAACCAGTGTTGTGGCTGGACTGGCCTTAGTGGTTCTTACGATTGCAGGACGCACCTCAGCAGCAACTCAGGGAAATTTGAAAAACAAGATTTCTTACTCACAGGTCCTGGAGGGCCACACAGAAGGTTCTGGGTAGAGAGAGGGAGGGAGCGTGGACCTAGGGTGTGGCCTTATTAGAGACAAAGTTGGGGAGGTGCCTAGGGTTTTGCAGGTTCACCCTTTATTGGGAAATCTAAAACATAAAAGCAGGAATTAGGGAACAGGAAAGGGAGAAACAGGGTCACTCAAGTGGTCAGTTACCTAAGTCACCCAGGGCTTTCTAAAAGAGGAACTTCATGAGTAGGGCGGCCTGATAACTTACCGAGTTGGTTTGCTACTAGCTATGTGGTAACGGCTAGCAGTATGTTCATTCACAGTGAACTTCTTTAAAATGGCTAATTTGGCAATTACACGCTAAGTGTCAGGCACTTAGAGGCATCAGATTTTTTTTGTCCTTTTTTTCTCATTGAAGTAGAGTTGACATACTATATTTTATTAGTTTCCAGTGTTCAACATAGTGATTTGACATTTATATACATTATGAAATGCTCACCACAATAATTGTAGTCACTGGCTGCCCCCTTACAAAATTATTACAATATTATTGCTGTATTTCCTGTGCTGTACTTTTTATCCCTGTGACTTACTTATTTTATAACTGGACATTTGTATGTCCTAATCCCCTTCATCTGTTCACCCCTCCCATCCCCTTTGGCGGCCACCAGTTCTCTGTATTTATAAGTCTGTTTCTGTTTTGTCAGTTCATTTGTTTTGTTTCTTCAATTCCACATGCAAGTGAAATTGTGGTATTTTTTTTTTCTGAGTGGCTTATTTCACTTAGCATAATACCCTCAGGGTTCCTCCATGTTCTTGGAAATGACAGCTTCTTTAGCTGTTCATCTGTCAGTGGACACTTAGGTTGCTTCCATATCTCAGCTGTTGTAAATAATACTGCAGGGAAAATAGGTGTGCACATAACTTTTTGAATTAGTGTTCTTGTTTTCTATAAGTAAATACCTGGAAGTAGAACTGCTGGATGGTATCAGATTTCTATTTTTAGGGGCGCCTGGGTGGCTCAGTCGTTGGGCGTCTGCCTTCGGCTCAGGTTATGATCCCAGGGTCCTGAGATCGAGCCCCACATCGGGCTCCCTGCTGGGCGGGAGGCCTGCTTCTCCCTCTCCCACTCCCCCTGCTTCTGTTCCCTCTCTCGCTGTGTCTCTCTCTGTCAAATAAATAAATAAAATCTTTAAAAAAAAAAAAAAAGATTTCTATTTTTAATTTTTTGAAGACCTCCCTACTCTTTTTCATAGTGGCTGTATCAGCTTACATTCCCCCCAACAGTGCATGAGGGTTCCCTTTCTCCACATTCTTGCCAAAACTTATTTCCTGTCTTTTTGATATTAGCCATTCTGACAGGTGTGAGGCAGTATCTCGTTGTGGTTTTGATTTGCATTTCCCTGTTGATTGAGTGATGTTGAGCATCTTTTCATGTCTTTTCAGGTCTTCTGGCTATTTTTTTGTCAGATTGTTTTCTGGTGTTGAGTTATATAAGTTCTTTATATATTTTGGATATTAACCCCTTATCAGATATATCATTTGCAAATATCTACTCCCAGTCAGCAAGTTGCTTTTTTGTTTTGTTGATAGTTTGCTTCATTGCACAAAAGCTTTTTAATTTGGTATATTCCCAATAGTTTATTTTTGCTATTGTTGCTCTTGCCTGAGGAGAAAAATCCAAAAAATACTGCTATGGTGGATGTCCAAGAGTTTTCTGCCTGTTTCCTTTTAGGAGTTTTATAGTTTCAGGTCTTACATTTTGGTCTTTAATCCATGTTGAGTTTATTTTTGTGTGTGGTGTGAGAAAGTGGTCCAGTTTTATTCTTTTGCATGTAGCTGTCCCGTTTTCCCAGCAGCATTTATTAAAGAGACTGTCTTTTCCCCATTGCATATTCTTGCTTCCTTTGTCATAGATTAATTGAACATACAGGTATAGGTTTATTTCTGGGCTCACTATTCTGTTCCATTGGTCTATGTATATATTTTTGTGCCAGTTCCATACTGTTTTGATTATTATTGCCTGTGTAGTTTATCTTGAAATCTGAGAGTGTGATACCTCCAGCTTTGTTATTTCTCAAGATTGCTTTGGTTATTTCATGATTGCGTACAGATTTTAGGATTGTTTGTTCCTAGTTCTGTGAAAAGTGCTGTTGGTATTTTGATAGGGATTGCATTAAATCTGTACTTTGCTTTGGGTAGTATCAACATTTTAACAATATTATTCCAACCTATGAGCGTGGTATATTTTTCCATTTATTTGTGTCATCTTCACTTTCTTTTATCAGCATTTTATAGTTTTCAGAGTACAGGTCTCCTTAAATTTATTCCTAGGTATTTTACTCTTTTTGATGCAGTTGTAAATGGGATTGTTTTCTTAATTTCCTGGTCTGCTAGTTTGTTATTAGTGTATAAAAATGGAACAGTTTTCTGTGTATTAATTTGGTATCGGCAACTTTACTGAATTTATTTATATTACTTCCAGTAGTTTTTTGGTGGAGTCTTTAGGGTTTTCTGTATATAGTATCAAGTCATTTGCAAATAGCAACAATTTTACTTCTTCCTTACCAGTTTGGGTGCCTTTTATTTCTGTCTGTCGGCTGTAGTAGGACTTCCAGTACTATGTTGAATTAAAGTGGCGAGTGGGCATCACTGCCTTGTTCCTGATCTTAGAGAAGAAGCTTTGGGATTTTCACCAATGAGTATGATGTTAGTTGTAGGGTTTTCATATTTGGCTTTTGGGGTATGTTCTCCGGAAACCCACTCTTTTGAGGGTTTTTATCATAAATGGAGGTTGCATTTTGTCAAATGCTTTTTCTACATCTATTGAGATAATCATATAGTTTTTATCTTTTGTTAATGTGTATTATGTTGATTGATTTGCATAAATTGAACCGTCCGTGCATCCTTGGAGTAAATCCCACTTGGTTGTGGGAAATGATCCTTTTAAAGTATTGTTGAATTCAGTCTGATAATATTTGTGAGGATTTTTGCATCTGTGTTCATCAAGGATGTAGCCTGCAATACTCTTTTTTTTTTTTTGAAGTATCTTTGTCTGGTTTTTATTGTCAGGGTAATGCTGGCCTTATACAGTGTATTTGGAAGCATTCCTTCCTCTTCAGTTTTTTAATAGTTTGAGAAGAATAGGTATTAGCTCTTTAAATGTTTGGTAGAACTCCCATGTGAAACCATCTGGTCCTGGACTTTTTTGTTTTTTGGGAGGTTTTAATTACTGATTCAGTTTCATTCCAAGTAATTGATCTATTCAGATTTTCTATTTCTTCCTGATTGTCTTGGTAGATTGTGTGTTTCTAAGAATTTTTCTTTCCTTCTAAGCTGTTCAATACATTGAACATACAATAATTTTCCACAGTAGTCCTTTTTTTTTAAAAAACCATTAACTATATTCTCTATGTTGTACCTTTCATCCCATGATTATTCATTCCTTAACTGGAAGTCTGTATCTCCTACTCCCAATCATCCATTTTTCCCATCTCCCACCACCCCTCCCCTCAGGCAACCATTAGTTTTTCCTCTGTATTTGTGGGTCTTCCTACTTTTTTGTTTTTTTGATTGTTTTGTTTTTTAGATACCACATATAGGTGAAATCATGGAATTTGTCTTTCTTTGCCTGAATTATTTCACTTAACATAATACCCTCTAGATCCATCGGAGTTGTCAAAGATAGCAAGATAGCATTTTTTTTTTTATTGCTGAGTAATTTTCCACTGCATATATACCACTTCTTTATCCATTCATCTATTAATGGACCCTTGGGTTGCTTCCATATCTTAGCTATTGTAAACAATGCTGCAGTGAACATAGGGATGCATATCTTCTTGAATTAGTGCTTTCATGTACTTTTAGCAAATTACCCATTAGTGGAATTACTGGATCCTGTGGTATATCTATTTTTAATTTTTTAAGAACCTCCATACAGTTTTCTACAGTGGCTGCGTCAGCTTACATTCCCATCAGCAGTGTACATGGGTTCCTTTCTCTTTTTGTTTGTTTCTGTTTTTATTTGATCTGATCTTTATTATTTCTTTGCTTCTGCTAGCTTTGGGCTTTGTTCTTTTTCTAATTCCTTTAGTTGTAAGGTTAGATTGTTTATTTTAGGTTTTTCTTGTTCCTTGACGCAGACCTTCATTACTATAAATTTCCCTCTTAAAACTCCTTTTTCTGTGTCCCACAGATTTTGGAACATCGTGTTTCCATTTTCGTTTGTCTCCAGATAGTTTTTAATTTACTGTCAGATTTCTTTGTTGACCCATCAGTTGTTTAATAACATGTTGTTTCACCTTCACGTGTCTGTGTTTTTTCCAGTTTTTTTTCTTGTAACTGGTTTCTAGTTTCACACCAGAGAGGTTTGATATGATTTCAGTTTTCATAAATTAAATGAGATTTGTTTTGTGGCTTAACATGCAATCTATTGTGGAAAATGTTCTGTGTGCACTTAAAAAGAATGTGTATTCTGTGTTTGGGATGGAATGTTCAGTAGGTATCTGTTAAGTCCATCTGGTCTAATATGTTGTTCAGAGCCACTGTTTCCTTGATTTTTTTTCTGACCAGATGACCTATCTGTTGGTGTAAGTGGGATGTTAAAGTCCCCTTCTATTGTATTATCATTCATTTCTTTCTATTTTTTTTTTTAAAGATTTTATTTATTTGAGAGAGAGAGAGAGAGCACACCCCAGTAGGGGGAGGGCCAGACGGAGAGGGAGAAATAGACTCCCTGCTGAGCAGGGAGCCCAACGTGGGGCTCAGTCCTGAAACTCCAGGATCATGACCTGAGCTGAAGGCAGACGCTTAACTGACTGAGCCACCCAGGTCAGGTGCCCCTTATTTCTCCCATTACGTCTGTTAATATTTGCTTTGTGTACTTAGGTTCTTCCATGTTGGGTACATAGGTATTTATGATATCTCTTCATTGGACTAATCCTTTTATCATTATGTTAATGCTCTTCTTTGTTTCTTGTTACAGTCTTTGTTTTAAAGTCTATTTTGTCTGATGTAAGTACTGCTACCTCAGATTTTTTGTTTTTTTCCATTTTCATGGAATACCTTTTTCCATCTGTTCACTTTCAGTTTGTGTCTTAAGGTTTGAAGGAGGCTCTTGTAGGTAGCATATAGGTGGGTCTTGGGTTTTTTTATCTATTCAGTCAGCCTCTGTTTTTTGATTGGAGCATTTAGTCCATTTACATTTAAAGATTTATTTATTCATTTTAGAGAGAAATAGCAAGCATGTAAGCTGGGGGAGGGGCAGACGGAGAGAGCAAATCCTCAAGCAGACTCCCCACTGAACGTGGAGCCTGATGCAGGGCTTAATCTTAGGACCCTGAGATCATAACCTGAGCTGAAGTCAAGAGCCAGCCACTTAACTGACTGAGCCACCCAGGCGCCCCTAGTCCACTTACATTTAAAGTAATCATTGATAGTTAGGTGTATTTTGCTATTTTAATTGTTTTTATAGTTCTTCTCTGTCCCTTTTTTCCTCTTTTCCCTTGTGATTTGATAACTTTCTTTAGTGTTATGCTTGGATTCTTTTTATTTTTTTGTGTATCTATTATACGTTTTTGGTTTGTGGTTACTATGAGGTTCATATGTAACACCCTACGCATATAGCAGTCTGTTTTAAAGTTAATGGTCACTTAAGTTTCGACACATTCAAAAAGCACATTTGCTATGTTTTTATTCCCCCCTCCATGTTTTATGTATTTGATGTCATATTTTACATCTTTTTAAATCTTTTGTATTGCTTAACTAATTAGTGTAGATAGAAGTGATTTTCCTGCTGTTGTCTTTTTAACCTTCATACTGGCTTTGATCCTGGTACCTTTACTGTTTGTTCGCTTTCACCAGTGAAATTCTTTCTTTCATAATTTTCTAAGTCCTAGTTACGGCCTCTTGTTTCTCGCTTAGAAAAGTCCCTTGAACATTTCTTGTAAGGCCAGTTTAGTGGTGATGGACACCTTTAACTTTTGTTTGTCTGGGGACCTCTTTATCTCTCCTTCAGTTCTGCATGGCAGCCTTGCTGGGGAGAGTTTTTGGTTTTTTTTTTTAAGATTTTATTTATTTATTTGACAGACACAGCGAGAGGAACACAAGCAGGAGGAGTGGGAGAAGGAGAAGCAGGCTTCCCGCTGAGCAGGGAGCCCGATGCGGGGCTCGATCCCAGGACTCTGGGATCATGACCTGAGCTGGAGGCAGACGCTTAACGACTGAGCCACCCAGGCGCCCCTGGGGAGAGTATTGGTTGTAGTTTTTTCCTTTCGTCATTCTGAATACACTGTACTGCCCCCTCTGGCCTGCTGAAAAATCAGCTGGTAGCCTCAGGGGAGTGACCTCATCCATCACTGTTCGCTTCTCTCTCCCCACTTTTCATTTTTGCCATTTTAATTATCACGTGTCTTGGTATGGACCTCTTTGGGTTCTTCTTATTTGGGGCTCTCTCTGCTTCCTGGACCTGGATGTCTGTTTCCTTCCCCAGGTTAGGGAAGTTTGCAGCTGTTATTTCTCCAGTTAAGTTTTCTGCCGCTTACTCTCTCCGTTTTCCTTTTGGGACCCTTGTAATTGAATACTAGTGTCCTTGTGGTCTCAGGAGTATGTGTTCTTAATTAATTATATAATACTAGGAATTGTAGCTTAATTGGGGGAACCTTAGTATTAAGGTTTTGAAGGTAAATGGAGAGGTACCATTCATTAGTGGCTTACGTACCTACCAAATGGGGCCATTGAAAGCTGAGGCTATGGGCTTAATGACTCCATCTCAACATCTTTAATAACAGGGTATAGGCCTTTAGTGTCCTATTTAAAGTGGTATTGGGGGGTGTTTACCATCTTGCCCACAGGAGGAAGAGTCCCTGGCATCCACTTGGTAAATCCCACCAGGAAGATCAAGAACTTGGGCTGGTTCTCTGTGACATGGCATTGTGTCAATGCATCCATGCCCATAATAGGGAAAGGGCCAAGGAAGCTACCACCAGAAGAAGCCCTTTGAAGTAAGTGGTCCCTGTAGTTAGCTACATCCGAATGGATTTGTACACCTTTGACTGTTTAACTGGCAATGCCCTGTAGGTAGAAGGGTTTCCCTTTCAAGAATTTAGAGGGATTATCTGGAATAACAGTGATTGGGCCCTGGTGTCTAATAGGGCCAAGAGGCCCGTGCATTTTTATTGTCCCAGTGGACTATCAGAGTGGCATAGGGGCCACTGCTTGCGGGAGGTGGGTTGAGTCCTGGGGAGCTACCCGTTGCCTAGGGTAGAGGCTTAACCCTGGAGGTTAGAGAGGAGGGCAGAGGTACTTGGGGGGACTGGGTTGGAGTCGGGATAGAGGGCAGCTGTGTGACAAGAGGATGGATGGCAGAAGGGGGTTGTGGCTGTCTTAGGGTCTAGAGTTTAGAGACTGGCTGTCTGTATACTAAGTGACCAGGAACACTGAGATGTTGTAACTCCCAGGAGAGGTTAACCTGTGTATTTCCATAAGGGGCAAAATTAAGTTGGGAGTTTACTAGGGAGGGGGCGGGGAGGTTTGCTCGAGGGGAAACCTCCTCTGGGGCAGTGGGTGTGGAAGGGCATAGGTCTGAAGTATCTGGGTGCCTGGATAGTAATCTCCTCTACATCCAGCAACCGTGTCAGGGCCCTCCAGTGCCTTTTAAATGGTTCCAGCAGTCCCATTAAAATGTAGTAGGGCTGCCCTGTAATTAGGGGGAGCGCCTTATGAAAAGAAGTCTCTGGACTCCGGGTCACGTGGGGCCTCTTCAGGTTTAGAAACGAAGAGGGGAAGAGGGGGTCATCTGGGTCACTATGGTCCGGTCTCTTGGGGCCCGCCACAAGTAGTAGAGGCCCGGGCGAGTGCCCGCAGGCATTCCCAACAGCCGGCGTCCCTCTCGGTAGGCTGAGCCCAGACGGCTGGCAGACGGCGTAGTCAGCAGGGCTGTGTGGTAGCCCTTGCAGGTAATTGCGGGGACTGCCTTACCTTCCACCTTCTTACGGTGACTGGCTAACCGGCCAGGTCATGGCACTGGGGAACGCAGCGCCACTTGCTGGACGCCGTCCCACCGGGCTCGGTTTTGCTGTCGCCTCTGCTGTGTGTTGCCTGTGGTCTCTCTCCTGAAGTGTCACTGCTGCCATAGTAATTCAGTCTCTTCAGAGCCGTGTGTGCAAGGCCATAGGGACTCAGGAGATGATTAGGCCACTAATTATAAAGGCCTTTAGTGACTAAGGTAAGTGAGGGTCCTCCAGGCCTTGCGCCCAGGAGAGCTAATGAAGGCAGACTGGATCCCAAGGCTGTTCTCACTGCCCCAGGGGAGGCTTTGGGCTATTTACTGAGGAAAGGATATTCCAGTCAGTGAGGAGGAGGGAGAACTCCCCTAGTGACCACTGAGTGGTGGGTCCTAGTGGGACTGTGTGTCCCCTACAGACATTTCCCTCACCGGAGTCCGTTTTGCAGCTGGACTGGCCTTCGTGGTTCTTACGATTGCAGGACGCACCTCGGCAACCACCATCAGGGAACTTCAAAAAACAAGATCTTACTCCCCACAAGTTCTGGAGGGTGTGGGGCACTCTGAGGTCTCGGTTAGGGGGAGAGGCAGAGAGCATGGTCCTGGGGCTCCGCCTGTATTGGGATGAAGGGGAAAGTGCCTGGGGCTTTGTGAGGTCCTCCTTTATTGACAAATTTAAAACATAAGAACGGAAAGTAGGAAGTGGGAAGGGAGAAACGGGATCACTCAAGTGGTCAGTTATCTGAGTTACCCAGAGCTTTCTAAGAGGGGAACTTCCTGTGCGGCGGTGGCCTGCTGCTTTGCCTGGTTGATGTGCGGCTGGCTGGGGCATTCATGTCAGGGAGGGCTTGGGAATGGATGCCTGGGCAGGCAGAGGCTTAATGTCAGGCACAGAGGCTACGCTTACAGAAGCACTTCGGAAAAGTATGTGTCTGTGTTTACTAAACCTGAATATGCACGTAAGCCTACGACCCAGCACTTCCTCTCCTGGGTACGTCTGCAGAAGAAAGGAGCGCACATAGGCCCCAAGAGAAATACGTGGGAATAGTCCCAGCAGCATCATCAGCAGTTGTCCAAGAGTAGAATAGCCACGGTAGACGAAATAAATACCTTATGCGAAATAGTCACTTCACAGACTGCTGTACAGAAGAGCAGTACACACAGCAACACGAATGAGTCTCCTGCTAAACATAATGATGTGCCAGGGGAGCCAAACACAAAGGTATATTCTGTATGAGTCCATTTATTTATAAAGCCCTAAAAACTGGCAAAACGAAGCGATGCTGTTTACCAGAGGATACCAGAATAGTAGAAGTATAAAGAAAAACAAGGAAGAGATTACCTTGAAAGGCGGAAGAGTGGGTCATTTGGAGGGGGAAGTGGATGTGGTACGTCTGGGCTTTCTTGAGTAGAAGCAATGACGTATTTCTAGACAGGAGATGGTTACGTAGATGTTTGCTTTCTGATTCATTAAACTCAATGTTTGTGATGTGGTTTTCACCAAGAAAAGATGTTTTTAAAGGCTACGTATAAAATGTCAATTTTCAAGTTACACATATTTTTTATTTATAAAACAAAAGTATTAAAACATGCTTAGGAAGGCTATGTACAGGGCGCCTGGGTGGTTCAGTCGTTAAGCATCTGCCTTCGGCTCGGGTCATGATCCCAGGGTCCTGGGATCGAGCCCCGCATCTGGCTCCCTGCTCGGCGGGAGGCCTGCTTCTTCCTCTCCCACTCCCCCTGCTTGTGTTCCCTCTCTCTCTGTCTGTCAAATAAATAAATAAAATCTTTTTTAAAAAGAAGGATATGTACAAATTTAGCTTATCTCTGGGCAAGGAGGGGAATATGATGGTGCTGGCATCTAGAGCTGTATTATTTTACGCCTTTTCAAAAGGAAAGATCTGAAGCAAAGATGGCAGAATAGTAACATCTTCAGTCTGGGTGATATGTGCATGGATGTCTTGTTTGGGGTACATTTCTGCATGTTTATTTTTCATAAAATTTAGGGGCACCTGGGTGGCTCAGTTGGTTAAGCGGCCGACTCTTAGTTTTGGCACAGGTCATGATTTCAGGGCCATGAGATCGAGCCTCACATCGGGCTCTGTTTTCAGCAGGGAGTTTGTTTGGGATTCTCGCTGTCACTCTCCCCCCTACTCGTGCTCATGCACACGCTCTCTCTCTCTAAACAACTCTTTTAAAAAATATAAATTTAAAAGTAGACAGGATGTTTTTTAAAGGGAAAGGGAGTTGGAGACAGAAGTTAGGTGTGTTATACATACCAGCACTGTTTTTTTTGTTCCACAGGTACCTGAAGCTCTTCACTTTTCTGCCCCTGCCAGAGATTGACCATATCATGCAGCTGCATGACAAAGAGCCAGAAAAGCGGGGTCCTCAGAAACGACTTGCTGCAGAAGTTACGAAGCTTGTTCATGGACAAGAAGGGCTAGATTCTGCTAAAAGGTGGCCTTTAGGAATAACTAACACTGGATAAAGTTATGTCGTTAATAGGCTTGAGAAAATTCCTGAGGGTTATCTTGTCATTTACCACTAACAAGGATTGTCAGTGTTTGACTCCAGTGCTTTAGAATAGCCTCTTTTGGAAAGAAGGATCCTCTTGAGTTAAGGATGAGTCATACAAGATTCACGTTGCTGTTTGAAAACTGGCTGTTAGAGCACAGGCGCTCACGTGATGTGGTTTTGATGTGTTTCCAGGTGTACGCAAGCCCTTTATCATAGCAGTACTGATGCACTGGAGGTCATGTCTGATCAAGAGTTGAAAGAGTTGTTTAAAGAAGCTTCATTTTCTGAATTAGTTCTTGACCCAGGAACAAGTGTCCTAGATACATGCCGCAAAGCAAATGCCATTCCAGATGGTCCCCGAGGGTAAGATGATTTAACTTTTATTCACAGTTAACTCAACATTAAATGTTAGAGTCCACAGCATGTTTCCAGAGGGTGTTTTCCTGATAGTGCCATAATGGTGTCTCACTCCTGGGAGAAGTTAGGTTAGTCCAGGAATACAGTGAAAACGGAGTACTTATCGTTGAAAACAGTCTAAATTTTCTATAAAATCTGGTACTAGTGTTGTCTCTCATTGAGTCTAACTCCCTTTTTCCTCCAGCGCTGGAAAGGCCTATATTGAAGGGACCACTATGGTCAGCAGGTGCACTGGGATTAGTCAGCTCAGGGATGGTCACAATTTGAGATCAAAAGTGAACAGATTCACATGACCCCTCTCATATTCAGTCTGTATGGTCTTTGAGGGAGTAGAGGCGTTGCCCAACCTATTTAAAATATTTGTTGAGGGACACGTAGGTGGTTCTCGGTTGGGCGTCTGCCTTCGGCTCAGGTCACGATCCCAGGGTCCTGGGATCGAGCCCCGCATCGGGCTCCTTGCTCAGCGGGGAGCCTGCTTCTCCCTCTCCTGCTCCCCCTGCTTAGGCACGCACTCTCTCTCTCTCTGACAAATAAAATTTTAAAAAACATTAAAAAAAATGTATTAGTTGAATTTCTGAAAATGAAGTAAGCATGTGATGTTACTTCCTAAAACTAGTATTATAAATTACATACTATTCCTCTTGAGAATTCCGTTTTTCTTATTCAAGAAGTAGGTAGGATATTTTTTCCTCAGTTATGTGGTATTATGAGGGAATAAAGTGTTCCACAAAGTAATCCGGCATATACTTGATGCTTACGCATTTATAACTGAAACAGTGTGATGTAGAAGGAAAAGCATTAGTTAGCCAGAAGACCCTGGTGCCTCATCTCCTGGAGTATGAGCATTAAGTCAAATGCTTATCAGCCCATATTCATGATTATAAATGACATTTGTTGTAGTTGCTGTTTTCTTTCCATTGTTTTGGGTTATTTGCCTTTATCCTGAAGAACCCTAGATTATTCTGTATAGAGAAAATATCCATTGTCTTTGTATCACTTGCATTCTACCTATTGATTCCCTACTATGCTCATTATTTAATGTACACTGAATTGGGAGTCGTACCATATACCTCCCCAGAGTGAGTCACTGGTTCTAAGAATTTTCCTTACTGTGGAAGCATTTTTGGTTTTCTTCTGAATTTTCTAGTGGTTTATTTACTGATACTGGAAATTTTACCACGACTTAAGATGACACCATATCTGATTTAGAATTCTTAAGTAATACATTTTTTAAGATTGTATAAGCTAAGTAAGATTGGCTTGTGCATTTAAACAAAATGTAGAACATGATCTGGAAACTATAGCAAATAGCCCAAAATAACACTTCCTAGGAGAAAGAAATCTGTCCTTAAATAGAAAACAGAGTTTTATGAACTCATGTGTAGTAGCGGTTTCTTTGTCATTTGGTAACATTCAGATAAGAGAAAATGAACATTTGCCTTTCACAAGGGCTTCCAAGGCCTTTCATGCTCTAGACCTTTTTTCCTCTCAGTTTGCTTCTTTCTAGCTACTCCCCATGTTTCCTCGCCCTATTTGTGGAAGTAACTGCTGCTCACCCTCCCAGTTGCCATGTGTCTTCTTTCAGGACAATTTCTGACCCCCACCCACCCAGTGTGCGCCCGGAGCGGTCTTTCCTAGCGGTGACAGCATTTAATCCCTGGGGAATTATTTGTCTGGTCTCTCCACTAGTTTGCAGTACTATTTATATATATATTTAGTGCATAGTAAAGGTTCTATAAATGTTGAATGAATTGGGGAATAAATAAATAACATGAGTAAAACCTATTTACATATGCCATCAAAAAATTGTTACTAGGGCGCCTGGGTGGCTCAGATGGTTAAGCGTCTGCCTTCGGCTCAGGTCATGATCCCAGGGTCCCGGGATCGAGCCCCGCATCGGGCTCCCGGCTCAGCGGGGAGCCTGCTTCTCCCTCTGACCCTCTCCCCTCTCATGCTGTTTCTCTCTCGCTCGCTCTCTAAAA